ACCTAAAATGTTCAAGAATCGAATAAATAAACTTGAGGAAATTTAAGGTTATGTCCAGATTTGCTGCTCTGATCCGTTCTTGATGAACGGTTAGTTAACACACCCGCACTTACGAGGAAATCAAATGAAATAAGTAGGATTGTTTTTACTCTTCTTGATCTCTTCAGCTGTACATTTCATTGATTTTTTAAATTCCAGTTGAGACAATACTATTTGCCTTTTATTGTGCTTTTTGTTTTGGCTACATTTTTACTGAATTTCTATGTATCTCTTAAACAACGTCCAAGTTGTTTAACTTAATATCCGGTTATGGTCACTGCCGTGTTGGTTCATTCCTCTTTTGATTGTGTTGCTTGAAATGTCTGAAATTGTGCAGTTTTTTGATTGCAAACTAACGCACACTTTCAAGGCTGGAAACGTTCAGTGTTATAACACGTAATTCTTGATACTCTTGTTAGTGGTATCTTTGTACAGTTGAATATAATTTCTTGAACAAACTGTACATGACCTATCCAGAAACGATTGGATAATATTCATGTATTATTAGAAAAGTTAATTTGTTGAACTTGGTAACTCTTATGTCCTTTATCAATTTATCCACAAAATGTATTTATTTTTTATTGTTTATTGGACTACTATTGGTTGAATAACTGGGTGGTATTATTTGCTTATGTAATAATGTCCATTGCTATTTATGACAATATAAAGAACCATTTCTTAGCTAACTTAAGATTATGATCCAAATCGTTGTTAGTACTACTATAATAATAGACCTAATCCTAAAATTTTAGATTTGTCATGATGTGACTGCGTAATCTATAAGATTTTACGTGGAAGTCCTATCACTGTCTACACTGACTTGCCTTGTCAAGATCATAAGCACTGTGAGGACTAGCTCTCATGAAGAACGCATTTAGGCTAGAGATAGAACAATATACCTAATATGAATAAAAAATATAATTTACGCAAGAATGACCATTCCTACAAGGTTGAGTCATGCCGCCTTGAATGGTTCTTCCCGGGTTCACCATTTTCGACCTTCTCTTAGTGTTACATGTTGGAGTGAACTTATACAGTAATTCTATGTTCAGCTTCGAAGATGCCACCACACAACCATTTTGTCACCGATTTCTACTGGGAGAGCATACGTATCTAAGTTAAACTTAACAGCTATTGCTTATTTCAAAAATGTTTCAGTTCGAAAGTTCAATCTGTAGTTTCTTGAAGAATTATTATGATGACCTTCATAAAAAGCCCTTATTTTTTAAGTTTGTACAGCAAAAATAAAAAATATCAAGCTAAAATAAGATTGAACTCTAATGATTCGAGCTAAAACAACGAACAGACCAGGCTCCACTTTTTAATAAAATATCCGAATATCACCAAAATTAATGAGATTCACGATAAAAGATTGTAATAGTTTGGACATAGTGAGTTCTTTCCGTAATGGACAGTACAAACACCTATATTTGTTTGAAATAACCCCTGCTCTTTTGCGGTGTGGATGAAAGCGTCACTCTGACCCTTTCATCAGAGCTCAAGGTCACTGAAACAAAAACTTGAACGTCTGGATATTGCAGTTTCAACCATGCTTCCCGTTGCAATAAGAAATACCCTTCACTTATTGGTTGTCATGTTAGGTTGAATCTGGTATTATATTAAATACAAGAAACATATATTTTAGGCAGACTTGTCACATGTTCTTGACCCGAACTGGATCGAAACCCTGTAGAATAGACACTGGCAGAGTAACTAGTGTAAATGTTTGTCTACGGAAAATTTGTGTCCTATTAGTTTAAATTAAAAGTCTGAAGTTGGTTCATTTACACAGGGACTTTTTAATGGAAAAGCTTAATTCTTTGAATTCTTAGGTGAGTACACTATTAGATATATGAAAACAAAGGTAGTTATACTGACTTACGAGACATATGTCCTCTATTTGTAAGGCAGATAACACGTTTCCACTGAGAGTTCCCAAATGAGAAAAAGATCTTTCATTAGGAAGCGCAAATCTCAAAGTGAATTGAATCATGGGTTCGAAATATTTTGTCAACACTGTGTGAGTGAACATCACTGCGGGATTAGAAAAGTATATTCCCATAACAGCTAATTGGCTTTATAAAAGTCTCTGGTGTCAAGTCACAAAGTGTTCCTACTTTTAAGATATGGAGGACTGCGTAGTTGGGTCTCAATGCCACTACAAGGGCCCTACCACGTGATTTTAACCAGCACGTCGCACCTGGCATGCTTACTACTTATGTATCTGAATCTTACGACACTTAGAGGGATGCTATTCTTAAACGTGGAGACTCGACCGACCAGCAAAGGTTAGACAAGCAGTTCCGCAACATCGAGCTGCAACACGACTCAGCAACAGAAGTGTTGTTGCAAATGTGAGGGACCATTGGTCAACTGACTTTCAACGAGGGCTGCCTAACCAGCAATTCTTGTCTGAGCTTCCCAAACGAGTGCGAGCAGTTCTTGTCTCATTTCAAAATAACTCCGTGGACGAACTTGACGCATCTACCGATCAGATTTTGAAGATCATCAGAAACTCAGCACCAAGGCTTGTACTGAAAAACAAGAGCCTCAAACGAAACTAATGGTGTTACAGATCTCTGTCATATTCTTGCTCGTTATCTTAATATTCATCATAATCATAGATACTCTAGAATTACTCTCAGAATTTCGTCGCGAAAGTGATCAGTCTCAAAGTCGTGGGAGACAGATAATCCTGATTGGTGCTGGTATCACAACAAGCATGGCAGGTCTTATCGAAATCAGAGAAAACCCTGGAGTTCTCCAATCTCCAAAATGTCTGACACGAAAAACTCTTCTGGAAGCTCCCCCACCAGCACGCGTTAACAGCAACCGTGGCCGGAGAACATAGTCGAATATTGTACATCACTGATTTGATGTCAAGAATTCGCTATCATGTTGACACTGGTGCAAAGTAAGCGTTCTCACCGCGAGTTCTAACGACCATCTACATGAACCGGCCTTCAACATCCAGGCTGCAAATGGAGAACCGATCACTGCACACGGTAAGAGATATGCTTATTTTAATGTGGATTTAAGCAAACCCATTCACTGGACATTGGTTGTTGCAAATGTTTTTAGGCCAATAATTGGTATATACCTACCACAACATAATCTACTCATCAGTCTAAGCGAATGGAGGTTAGTACGCGAAAGTACCAAATTATCTGTTCGTGTAACTCCGTCTTCTGGTTGTTGATTATGCCCAGTCACAATTAAGCATATATTCGATCCTTATTTTTAACGGGTTTTCGACAAGTACCTCAAATCGCACGAAACGTGACCAGAATTGCGTGTAATCGGCAAGAGAACAACTAGCATAGGGACCACCTGTATTTTTGAAAGCGCACTGACTAGCCCTCGAAAAGCTTCTTTTGGCCCAAAACGAGTTCAAGTATATGATAGAGTTGGGACCTATTCGACCATCGAATCATCGGCATCTTCCTGGTACATGGTCCCTAAAAATGCAGCAACGGTTGATACCCAACTGGTGATTATTGGCGACTGAATACGTTAACCGCTTCCGATCGTTACCCCTTGCCACGCATCTACGATTTGACAGCTACTTTAAAGGGCACAACCGATTTTTTCGAAAGACGATCTGGTGAGAGCACATTGCACGATTTACATCGCTGCTGACGACATCCGTGAAACCGGTATCATTACCCCCTCGAACACTGTGAATTCTGTTTATGCCCTTCGGTTTAAGAAATGCTATACAAAATTTCCAATGATTCACCGGTGACTTGATTCAAGGTCTCAACTTCGTACACGCATATGCAGATGAGTGCCTTATCGCAAGTTTGGAAAGAGAGTCTCATCTCCAGCATCTGAACCAGGACATCAAAGCACCCATTAGCATCACTGTAGACGCATCTGGCCCGTCAATCGGAGGAGTCCTACTGCAAAGAGTAAACAACTTCTGGGAATCTTTGGGATGGACACAGAACACTGAATCGAGGTATAGCGCTTTCGGCAGGGAACTCCCAACTTTGTATTATGTTGTATGGCACATTCAACACCATGTGGGAGGCCGAAAATTCAGTCATTTTACCGACGGTGAACTTCTCACCTACCTTTTAATCTCATCTTCACACAATTTACCCTACAAGAGTTTCAACGATCAAACCACATTTCACAGTTCGTTCCAGATATACAACATAGGACGTCCGAGTTATCGAAGTTTGTTCAAAGGCCAGATGAACCACGTGGGTGCGTAGCAGTACTAGACATATTGGAAGGAGCGTGTGAACGCATATCCTTAACCAATTAAACTAGACCAACGTCACGGGCAGTTCACGTTCTCCACAGAACAATTAGAGGCTATCTTTTCGTCATAGCGCGTTTCAAGGTGCTTAGTGATAGAAATATAAAACAGCAGAACACACTACCCAAACAACTAGGGTGAAACCTGCACAGCACTTCTGTTCGACCAATGACATCTGAGAATGGTCATTATTTTTTATTGATTCTGATCCACGTAAGGTAGAAGTACTGGTATCGTGTTATGCTGAAAAATGCTAATAAATCGGACATGAAGGAACTCATCGTCGACTGAATTATTAGACGAGATCCAGTCTTATGTACCACGTAGTCCAGCCACGATCTCACAGAAAGCAGTCCTTCGAGATTTTTCCTCAGGCATTTTGACCTTTGTGACCAATAAAATGATTAAACACGGGAATAAAGTAACGCACTCCGAGATCCTTATGTCTTGGTACAACTCAATCATTCAGTCATGAAGTAAACCAATCGATAGCTACGTATTTGTCCCTCTATAAATAATTCAATCAAGATTCTGGGATCACAACATTTAAAATTACCTAAAAGGCAAAACATTGCGTAAAGTTTAAATTCGGGCACAAAGCAACAAACTGGTTTGGAATTACTCATCGTAAAGATATGAGACACATTGAACATTGCATGGTGTTTTACTAATAATCTATCCGGTGGCACTGTACAGAATTCAGGTGGTGTTGCTGATAGCGGACGTCAGCGAGATGGTAGGTGTGGTGTTGTATTGTTTCGTCCCACATGGGCGATGAAGTTGGCGTATGGCGAGCGTTCGTGTTGTTTCCATAACATGCCTCAATAGCCAGGTAGTGAGACTCGTAATTGTTTTGAATGTTGGTTGCCGTTGCGTGTTGCCTGCGGTGTTTACAGGTTGTCGGCAATGGTATCATTCAATGTGCACACCCTAATTAATATGAGAGCAGAAGTCACCAGATACCTTAGGTGGCTTTTTGCTCATTAGCCTAGGTACGTTCTCGCCCATTGAAACTATTGCTTGAGACACGAAATCCGCGAAATCAATAGAGGTACGCTATTTTTCTCAAAGGGACTGGACATTATTTTCCGGGGACTAGCTAGGAACTCTGTTGATGACTCAAACAGTCTAAATTGTGTTGTAGGTTATCCACCTGGCAAATATTTAATTTACCGAGCAACTGGAGATGTTCGTATACAATGTGTAGAGTTTTAATGAGACCAATTGTAATTCACCAATGAGTTTATGATTAAGTCTTAACTGGTCTGTTTGGTTGTAATAAAATAACGCGGTTAGACTGACTCATCTTATGACGGTTTCTGGATCTCCAACTACTTTCGACGAGTAATCAAATCCTGGAATTCTTTGCCAACTAGCGTCCCAAGTGGCTAACCAGAAGTCCTTCAAGAGAAAACTTGACATACTATTGACACCTCAGGGTAGTTCGCACTATAACTTGCAGATTTCTCACTGGCTCGCTAAATATGCTTACGTCTACCTGAAGGCTTCGGTGGTCCCCTGCTTCTAAATACGAAAGTGCGTCAAGCGAAAACTTATATCCTGTCCACAATTATTTGGACAACTAACCTCACGATTTAAACATGTCTCCCCACCTTTAAAACAGTTCACAAATGCCATTTGGTAGTTGTCTTAGTTAAAAGCCATGAGGGCATTTGATAAGGGGTCCAAGTTCCACATGCTCTGCAATACTTGGGCTACAAAGTACAATCCTATTCTAACCATAATTACTTGTAGCTGTTGCCTTAGCGTGCTAGGTTGTAGTTGTTGAATCCGAAGACTACATGTATTGGGAGTTGCATGTTAAGTCATCAACGAATTGTCGACTTATCCATAACGCTTGTCCATGTGCTTCATAGATTGTTTACATTTATATTCTGTCAAGTTGCTCGCGAGTACTTTGAAGCAAACAGGATGATTTTTTGAATTTTCTCCCCTAGGTGAAATTCACGGTAGATGAGTTGCGTCGGATGATGGATTTTAAGCGGAATATCCGCAATATGTCCGTTATAGCACACGTAGATCATGGGAAGTCCACACTTACAGATTCACTTGTCTGCAAGGCCGGCATTATTGCTGACTCACGCGCTGGAGATGCTCGGTTTACAGACACTCGGAAAGACGAACAGGAAAGGTGCATCACTATCAAATCAACAGCCATCAGCTTATATTACGAAATGCCTGATGAAGATGTCCAGTGCGTCAAAGCGATCCAACCCATCGCTGTTAACTCAGAAGGAAAAGAAGAAAAAGGGTTTCTCATAAACCTCATAGATTCACCGGGGCACGTCGATTTCTCCTCGGAAGTCACTGCGGCCCTTCGTGTAACAGATGGAGCTCTTGTCGTAGTTGATTGTGTATCAGGTAATTTGCTTTTAAGTTATGATATTTTGTTAGGTGTGTGTGTACAAACCGAAACGGTTTTACGTCAGGCTCTCACAGAACGAATCAAACCAGTATTATTCATGAATAAGATGGATATGGCAGTCACAACTCTGAACTGTGACATGGAAGAACTTTATCAAAAGTTCCAGAGAGTGATCGAAAACGTTAACGTCATAATTTCAGAGTTTGAAACATCTAATAGCATAATGGGTGATCTGGCGTTAGATGTTGTGAAAGGGACTGTAGGTTTCGGTTCCGGTTTGCAAAGTTGGGCGTTCACATTGATGACATTTGCTAGACTTTACTCAAGCAAATTCGGAATTGAACCAAGTGTATTGGTTAAACGTTTTTGGGGTGATAACTTCTACAACGTTAAAACAAAAAAGTGGACCAAAGAAAAACCAGCTTCTGACGGCGTTCGTGGCTTTAACCAGTTTATACTGTCACCGATCTACAAGGTTTTCGATACTATCATGAAGAAAAGTAAGGAAGAACAAGTCGAATTGCTAACGAAGATGGGTGTAACGCTAAATGAAACTGAAATGTCTCTTCCTGACAAACAACGACTGAAAACAGCATTACATAAGTGGCTTCCTGCTGGCGACTCGCTCCTGCAAATGATATGCATTCATCTTCCTAGTCCTGTCACTTCACAGCAGTACAGAATAGAAATGCTTTACGAAGGACCTATGGAAGATGAAGCAGCTATTGCAATGAAAAACTGCGATCAGAATGGTCCAGTCATGATGTACATTAGTAAAATGGTGCCGACTTCAGATAAAGGTAGGTTTTATGCATTTGGTCGTGTCTTCTCTGGTACAATTGGGACAGGACAAAAAGTAAGAATAACTGGTCCCAACTACGTTCCAGGAAAAAAAGAGGATCTTTACGAAAAGTCTATTCAACGAACTGTACTTATGATGGGTCGTTCCACAGAAGCAATTGAGAATGTTCCATGTGGAAACATCTGTGGGTTGGTAGGAGTGGATCAGTTTATTGTCAAAACTGGCACCATCACAACATTTGCGGGGGCTCATAACTTGAAGCAAATGAAATTTAGTGTCAGTCCTGTAGTCCGCGTTGCAGTTGAATGTCAAAATCCTGCCGATTTGCCAAAACTTCTTGAAGGCTTGAACCGTCTTTCCAAAAGTGATCCTATGGTCCAAGTAGGTTATTGTAATATTTATCACATATGCTTTTAGATAACGCAAGAGGAGTCGGGTGAACACATCGTTGCAGGTGCTGGTGAGCTGCATCTTGAGATTTGCCTCAAGGATCTCAAGGAAGATCATGCTTGCATTCCTTTAAAAATAAGTAATCCCGTAGTTTCATATCGTGAGACAGTATTGGAGGAGTCAAATCAAACATGTCTGTCGAAATCCCCTAACAAACATAATCGTCTGTATATGCGTGCCTTACCTTTATCAGAAGAATTAGCACAGGACATTGATGACGGAAAAATCACTGCTAATCAAGACGTAAAAGATCGTTCTCGTTATCTAATAGACAACTACGGATGGGATGCTACAGAAGCTAGAAAGTTATGGTGCTTTGGCCCAGAGAACACAGGACCTAATGTTGTGGTCGATACCACTAAGGCAGTTCAATATTTAAATGAAATAAAAGATAGCGTTGTCGCTGCGTTCCAGTGGGCAACTAAAGAAGGTGTTCTTTGTCAAGAACACATGCGTGGAGTCCGTTTCAATCTCATAGATGTAGTACTGCACGCAGATGCTATCCACCGTGGAGGTAATCAAATCATCGGTACAGCACGTCGATGCTTCTATGCCTCTGTTCTTACTGCCAAACCATGCTTACTAGAACCAGTTTATCTGGTAGAAATCCAAGGACCAGCCACTGCTATGGGAGGCATCTACAGTACTTTGAATCGCAAGAGAGCCATTACACTTTCAGAAGAACGAAAAACTGACAGTCCAATGTGTATTACCAAAGCTTATATGCCGGTTAATGAATCTTTCGGTAACTCATTCTTAGTAACCTGATATTGTTTTAGGCTTCACGACTGATCTTCGTGCTGCAACTGGCGGGCAAGCTTTTCCTCAGTGTGTCTTCGACCACTGGCAAATCTATCCTGGTGATCCTCTCGACGAAAACTCAAAGCCTGGACAGGTAGTTGTGGAGGCGCGAAAACGTAAGGCTCTAAAAGCAGGCGTTCCTCCTTTAGATAACTTCTTGGATAAACTATAACACCTGACCTTGTACAATGTCTATTAATTAATAAATTGATTTCTTCATTGGCTTGTGAGTTCATTTACCAACGGTGTTTAGTGTTTGTCCTCAAAGTATTTTGTTGGTTTTTAGTTCTTGTAAGTGTTGCTTGTTAGGTTTTATGGTGTCACATAGTGCTTCTCAATGCACTCAAGGACAATACATTATATGTTTTAATCTCTAATAGTTACTAACTTTCTTAAAGCTATTCTGCTTCATTGTTCTATGCGATGGTTATATCTTGTTGGGAACATGTAGGTAGGATGATATAAACATGCCACTTCAGAGCGTACTGCAACTCATGTTTATGAGGGTTAGGAAATAATATATACCTTGATGGGTTTCAGTATAATTTTCGAATGATCTATGATGATTTGGTGTTGCGTAAGTGGTTACTGGGATTTTATGTATCTTTAACGATGGCTTTCAGTTCGTAGCTTAGTCGCTGGTTAGTGTTATTTCATGTCGGTTTGGTTTGTCATGTACTTTGCGTAAAACGAATTGGGCGTGATTCTTCCTCAAAGTGTCTCCATAATTGTCATTTCACAGGTAGTTAATAGCTGTTGGCTTATATGCCCACTCCCAATCATCTTGGAAGTCGTGATTCTTGCGACTGCGTTGTCAAATTTCCAGGCAGGAAGGATTTTCATTTTCGTTCCGAATGATATCGGAAACAGGTTTTGTCGACCTTCAAGTTTTATCAGCTTTTCTGTGTATAAGCTAGTCGAGTGATACAGCTCTTGATAACTCATTCATTTGCTAAGTATGCATCCTATGAACCGTTGCTTAAAGGTGAGAAACAACACGGTTCCCTAAATCGAAGTAGGCGGTAGGGTTGGCCGTGTCGAAAATCGAATGCTAGTCTGTGTCTAATTTTTATCCCTGGCTGGTCAGGTTATCAAGACAAGGCATAAGATAGTGGTCGGCCGTCTACGGTCTTTCTTGTAAGTTTCTAGAATCCCTACTCTTACTCATCCGTCGAATATCTGTCATCAATGTGTATGAAAAGTATTATATGCAGAAATTAGGACTTGAAGGATAGTAGATAGTGCGATCGTGTTGTATGGCTGCATTTTTCGAAATGAGTGATAATAGAAGTTGTACCCAGTGACAATCTGATTAGGAAAAGGTGGGCTCTGGTATCTCGTGTAGTCATACAAGGGTGTCTATGGAGAAATAAACGGGATTTCCGGGTGTTGCAGTTTGATGTCCTGTGAATTCAGTGACTTGAATGACTTCAGGGGGACGCATTTTGACCAAACAAGTTCCTCCCATTTTAGCGTCAACCCAGTTGATGTAGTACATCAAAGTCTGCGTGGACTGGGTAAGATAAGTAGCTGTCGTAACCTATGTTGATTTCACAAAATAATCCTCCGTATTGAACATGGATTGTCTGCAAGTGCCCTTGGGTGTCAGGCAGTTGTAAAAGGTACATTGAACCGTCCACATTCCTGGTTATCAAGTCAAGCATTTTGAAAAACATGGGTTTGTTTATAAAAAAACGGCATCCACCGGAACCAGTCCCGAGTTTGATATTTCACAGTGTGTTAACTATTTCCTAGGCATCTTGCATCCTAATAGTTTCCGTTACTTTGTTGGTAAAATCCAAATTCATTTCAATATGATTCTTAGGATCGCAATTCGAACCTCGATTAATAGTCAACTCACAATCAAACCATAGCAAGTGTTGGTTTGGGCGTAGAAGGGCAATTGTGTTAATGTCATAGAATATTTATTACATGTAGGGATGATTCGCCTTCAATGAAGGGTGTAGTTTGTGACTACAGACTTCATTTTAAAGTGCCTATTCAAGATTTGAACCGATTGATAAATATAAGACAGGACTTATGTAAAATCTGGCATAATCCAATCGATACTTTTATAGTCATAAGAAACAATTGCTGTTGTCTAAAACTGTTCTTAATGAATCAAATCACTCAATAAATGTAATGCTCAATTACCTGTCGTGTTTTTTTATCATCAACCACATAAGTCTGGTTCATACTATGGATTAGGTTGATCATTAAGTAATTCCTCATGGTCAGTCAGTTGCGCTCTTTTTCTTACAGTGAGTGATTCATGTATTGATGACTGATTTAGTTGTCTCCACAGGAATACGAAGCTAAGTAGGCGATTTGTTCGCTAATAACTGGAGAAACTGGTGGACCTAGGAAAGTAAAGTAGAGATGCTACCTAGTGTCGAGACCTGAAGGTTGGGGTTAGATCCTCGGTGGAGCAGTGGATACCCACTGTCAAGGAGTTCTATACTAGGATGAAACAGCTGTTGTATAAATACAGGCATTCCGTAATGTGAAGTTAACAATCTCGCCAACTACCTTACACTGTTAACGTTGTTTAAAGACTTGAATTGAAAGATAATTATGTAATTAAGTAAATATTTCTGATAACGCAGAATTCCGTGTGGCTACACTGGGAAACTAGTATCTACCAATAGTTATAATGTGTGAAATTTCAACACTGATTGGTTCTCTTTGCATGACAATGTCATATATAGCTGATAATCCTGTGAACTTTTTAGAAGATAGGTGATACTGTTGAATATTCATCCAGTTATTTGTTGAAGAATTTCACGTCAAACGCAGTACATTTTTTAGAGTAAAGCGGTGTTTACTTAATGTGCCGTACAGTCACTAATGTTTAACCCAGTCCTCCACTTATTGATTCGCAGATTCAGGACCAAACCAGTTTTTTAAAGCAATTAGTTCTGGTAATTTTGGACAATGTAATAAGAAGACGACAATTATCAGAACTGAAGTTTTTGTCGTTTCTGGGTTAGGTACTTCTTGATTTATTAGAATGAAATATCTTAATGTAGTGGACGAGAACACTAGTGAGGACGACCGAACGTGTCTGAACACAACATAAAGTATCTTAGTAAAATCTGAGAACCATACAATAAATACTTTGCAAAATGTTAATCAACTGTCATAGACTTGATCGTTCCTCTCAATTCTCATTCTATTCGATCTTAACCAGCCGTCTCACTTTCGATTAGTGATACATACTGCTTATATCTGTCGACATCAGTACCACATACCACAATAACACTTAAAGATGCCACTACGCTATTGATACACTGTTTGTCAGTGTTCCAGAAGGTGGGCTCGAGCCCCCCACAGAGTTTACAGATACACCCTGTTGACGGCTTCCAAGAAGAAATCTTAGTTGAAGACTTCTTGGCCCATGCCTTCGACCGCTTCACATGAAAACATCGTACATGAGATGCCTCTCTCCCCCTATATGCAAGTTGTTGCTTCAGGACTGGTCTGCGTCAACACCTGAACTAAGGATAGGGAGTGAAGTAGTCGAACGCGTTGACAACTTCACTTATCTTGGAAGTCTGATCAGCCCTAATGCGTTGGTGTCTGACGAAATCTCAGCACGGATTCGAAAAGCTCGTTTGGCTTTTGCCAACTTACGTCACCTATGGCGAAGGTGAGATATCCGTCTATCAATTAAGGGACGAGTATACTGCGCGGCAGTCCGTTCTGTTTTAATTTACGGCAGCGAAACATAGCCATTAAGAGTAGAAGACACTCGTAAGTTACTAGTATTTGACCACAGATGCCTCAGAAATATTGCTGGCGTCTGCTGGGATCACTGGGTAAGTAATAGTGAGGTTAGACGCAGGGTATTAGGTAATGATGGTAAATCAGTTGATGAGGTAGTGAATCTTCATCGACTGAGATTGTTGGGCCACGTGTTACGTATGCCCGAACACCGATTACCACGACGTGCAATGCTAACCGGTGTTCGGGATGGTTGGAAGAAAGTTAGGGGCGGCCAAACCAAAATGTGGCATCAGTGCTTGAAGTCACTAACTTCTAGTCTGAGCCATGTTGGTAGATGCAGACTACTTGGTTGGGGTCCGCGTGACTATCGTAACCAGTGGTTGGAGACTCTTGGTGACATGGCTCAGGGTCGATCACAATGGCGTCGGTGTATATACTCTCTGTCTTCCCTTAAACTGTAAGATTAAAATCGCTTCATATCTTTCTTTCTACGAATTAATTCTTTCTTCCTGTACTATATCCTTATTGTAATCTTTCTTTTATATATTATCACCACTGAATTATCTACTTTTATGAATCCGGTGTCCATCTTGTTGTGTTAATGAGGTATGGCAACTTGGACCGATGCATATATGTGCCTGGTCCTACGTTGTAGCTGACTGACTGACTGACATCAGATGCCGATTCACTCGGACCAGTGGCCACATAATAAATTGGTTGATAGGATTTTTTTATCATTAAGGTTTTGACTGTTAAGAATAGGAGAAAGAAGTGTGTAACCCTGGGAGTTATTTTGCTAGGGATCATTTTATATATCATTTACATATATTCGCTAAACCTTAAATTCATAGTACTTTATATTAACCTAACTGTAAGCTCTCATTTGAACTGTTATTTTCTACAATATCTTATGCCGTTCACAACCTGTGGTTAATTAATTACCAACTTGTTAGTTATTGTTGTATTATGTCTTATCGAGATTTATAATTTGAGTTAGATTTCATGTATATAATCACGAGATTTTTAAGTATAAATAACAGATAAACTATAAAGTACTTGACTGGCTTTTAAGGTGTTCTTATGGGTGATCCAGAAACGCTTGATTATAATATGAACAATCGACAATTAAAGCACACGACAGCTGCGTTAGAGTGTAGAGAAATGGTGAGCGTTCTAAATGCGGCTCACCAACTTTGTTGAGGTTAATTTCCTCTATATCTGACTTCAATAAACAGTATTCCGATAACAGTATATAACGCAGGCTAAATCTCATAGTACAATTATGAATTTACTGAAGATTATTCAAAAGCCTGAACACTAGTTATAGAGATAGTTTATTGTTAAACATTAGCAAAATCCACAAGCATACAGGAAGCAAACACACAGTGAAACGAGTGAGTGAGTGTGTGTTAAAAATCCGTATATATTTATGAGTGTTAATTGGTTGTGTGCAACAACCAATGAGAGAATAGATAAAAGATTGATGTGCAGCACGAG